CAGTAACCCTGTTTAGTCACGTTTACGTACGAAAAGTTACCGGTATAGTGGTTAGGGTCAGTGCCGCCGAGTATAATCTCTCCGTCGGCTCCCCTCACGTCTCGGCTCAGATAGAAGGAAAAGACCGGCGCCGACACCACTCCCTGTGCTATCATATTGTTGAACACTGGCGTCACTCCATAGCTAGACAACTGCGGGTAACCCATGCCTAGTATACCGTCAAACTCCGAGTATGTAAATGTTGGACCAGGTTCACTTGTTGTCTCGGCAAATGTCTGGTTAACTATTTTAGCTCCACCTATTGTCAGGGTATCTGAACTTAGATATCCGGTAGCACTGCCGGTGCCGTACTGTATGGCAAAGAGCTGACCATTGGGCTGGTATGTGGATGATCTAGATGGATTGTATTTACGGTGGATTTTGCACGCGTATGATTGACAGTAAATTCCAGGCACCCATAGGTCTGAGCTTCCCGTGTCAAATATTACCTATGTACAATTAATAACATTTATTTTAATTTACCAGATTTTATAATTTTAAAAAACTTGTGAATAATTAATAATTTATTACAATCACTAAATACTGTATGACAACAATTCATAATCAAAAATGATTAAAGTTTGAGTGGCAGTAATCGATCCACTTAATTACGCTAATGTTAACATTATTTAATTATATCACTTTCTGTATATTTATATACAGTATTTTATTATAAATTATATAATAATCGTGTAAACTCACTTGGTTATCCGTAAGTAATAAATTATATATAATTAATTAATAATTTTAATTTATTATTTATAATCATACATACTTTGAAAGGCTGAGGCGGTGTACCCAATGATATGATCCCATAGTATTCGGAGTCCATGTAATTAGACAGTGGCTCCGATATGACCGATCCGTTTTGGCCCACATTATTGGCTAAAATATTGCTTATATTTAAGTTGTTTTGTTGACAATAACTTCGCATTGATTTAAATTTAGTGAGAGTTAACCTGGTCAATTTACTACTGGTTTGTTGTAATAATAATAATAATATTGGCAGTAATACTGTTATCAATTTACTCATTATTCTAAATGTTTAAAGTAAATTAGAGTTTTAATTAATTAATCTAAAATTTATATAAGTTACTTTATAAAAATTCGTTTCAATAGCTACAATTACTTGTAAATCACACCGAGTTAATTAATTATTATATTTTTCTTGAGAATGTTATACTGACTCTTAATCACTGTATAAAATACTGTTATATTTATATAAATACATAGAAAATAAAATAAATAAATATTGCTGATGCATGATTGTAATAACTAATAATGATAATTATTTTATGTAGTTTCCAAAGTAAATTGCATTTTTGTAACTAATAAATAATAGATGTTTGTAATATAGCATTGCAAAATCATTTAGTAATTATTGATTGAGCAATTAATGATTAAGTACATGATTTAGTAATTATTATTGTAACATTAATAAAATAATAAATTCTTAATGTAATTCTCAATTTGTAATTATATTGTTACGAGATGGTCACATTTCTGTGACCGACTGCAACGGCTGGGCTGAGAAACCCAGTGTGGGCACGGCAGACACACGTGTGACCAGTGTCCGGCGAGCGGTAACCAGAGTGCCGGCCAGTGTGAGTGCTGTGCCG